GGTGGCAGGTCACTTTTGTTCTAGGGAATACACTGAGAGGTTCCTGCTAATGTTGGGTTGCCAGCCTGCAGGGATAGGGGCTGGGGCTGGGTTTGGGTCTGACCATCTTCCTATATACACGCTCTTGTTTCTATGTCTAGCACAGTTAAATGCACTTACTGGGAACAGAGGGAAAGTCCTGGGTGGTGGAGATAGTGTAGAAAGTTCAATGGTGTGAACGGTTCTGGGTAGGGGTAGTGGGGTGCTGAGACGGGTTCAGGTGGTGAGCGGGACGAGCAAAGAAAATGTGGGTGGGAGAGGTAAAGGGAAGGACACTTGGCATAAGCACCTGATGTCCCTGTCCTCTGCAGGCCCCCCCGCCTCAGCCAGAAACCTGCATGCAGCTTTCCAACCATTAGCCCTCCAATCCCTCTGGCCCTTAAGCCTCAGTTTCCCCAGCTCAGAAGGCTGGGGAGGGGTAAGGGTAGGCCCCCAGTCCTCGAGCTCCAGGGGTAACCAGGAGCAGCGGTCCCGGAGCGTACTCCTCAAGGATCGGCTCTGCTTCTCTTACCAGGGTCTGCTCGTACTGCAGCGCCCGCGGCTCCATCCCTTCCTCCGCCGCCGCGGTTGCGGCGGACGCCATCTCCGCTCACAGCCCTCGGGCCTCCCGCTGCGGCTCGGGCTCCGGCCCGGACTCGGCTCCCGGCCCCCAGCGCCCGCGAGGGCAGCCGTCCTGTCCCCGCAGCCCCGGCGGCCGAGTGCAGAGAGCCTACGGTTCAAGTCCCGTCCTTGGCGGGCGGGCCGAGGGCGGAGCCCTCCCCGCTGCTCCGCCCGCCGGCCCATCCACAGCGGCCCGCCCAACCCGGCCGGGGTCTGCGTTGGGGCCGCCTCCCAGGCTCCGGAGAGGCGGTAGGGGGCGCTTGAAACGCTGGAGTTCGCGTCACTTCGGCCGAGGCCGGGGGCTGAGAAGGGGGCGGGTCCGCTGGCGCGTGGAGGGGCCGAGCAGGGTCTGCGGCTCTCTAAGACCGGACGTGAGAGGTCGGGGCACAATAGGACTCAGAGCCTTCTAAATCAGACTCTTCGGGCCCCATATCTCTCTGGAGTGGCGCCCTCTCTTGCTTCTCCGGAGGGGCCAGCGGCTCAGATGCGCTGCAGCTCCGTCGGGGGTGAAGCAAAGCTGGATGGGACTCGGAGCGGAACACTGGGCCCAGGAAGGGGGTGATGCTAGGAGCTGAGACCCTTGGTCTCTTTCATCTCCTCCCTCCTTTATTTCCGGCGGCTCCCCCAGGGAGGTGTACCTGGAGGAACCTGGCCTGAGGGGTGTGGGGGGTGTCGGGGGGCTGGAGTTGGAAGAAAGGAGGGAAAGAAAGAAGGGAATGTTTAGGTACTGGACAGGCCACTCCTGGGAGGCGGGTGTGGGTGGACAGAGGTCGTTTCTCCCTGGCAGGGCCCAAGGAGAAACCCGAGTAGCTCCTGACGTCTCGCCACGTTGGGGAGACTGGCCTCTTGGGGCTCTGCGTTCTCTACCGGTCTCTACGGTCCGGAGAAGGATAGAGCAGAGGGTGGGGCGAGCACGGGGTGGATGGGCTGTGTGGGTGTCAGAGATAGTGTCGGGGAGTGCTCAGAAAACAGGCAGTGTGCGGGAGGAGGCAATACCAGGATGAAGGGGCATGTGGGAGGCAGAGGTGGTGCCCAGGAGGAGGGGGCAGTACCCAGGAAGGGGGCAGTATGAAAGGAGCCAGCACCCAAGAGGAATGGGCAGTGTAAGGGAAGAGTATCCGTGGGAGAGGACAGTGACAGGATGAGGAGGCACGTAGGAGATCAGAGTCTAGAGGGAGAGGGCAATGGTGAAGGAACAGGCAGTATCAAACTGAAGGTGCAGTGCTCAGGAGGGCAGTGGGATGGGGTCAATGCCAGGCTGAAGGGGCGGTGTGGGGGAAGAGAGCCGGGCTCAGGGGAAGAGGACAGTGGAGGGGAGGCTGCAGTACCGGGAGGGAACACTGCAGGCTTG